ATAGGTACTTGAAAATCGAGTTCTTAGTCAATCTACTCTTCAAGTGGCTAGAACCTAGGTTCTCCTTTTAACTTAGAGATTCATGGCTAGCAAACATGTATCTCGTGAATGTTAGATGCAATCTTTCTAAAATTTGTCAGTCAACTTAAAATTATATAGAATGGAAAGTTGAAAACCTGAGGAAGAAAGAAAACCCATGAGAAATTGAAGGAGATCCTAAGAGAGGGACTCAAAGGAGAGCACAAGCAGAAAGGAAAAGGGGAATGTGAGAGATTTTCATTTTTAAATTGAAAAAATTTGAGAGGCTAAATTGGAAATTTTTTTTTTAATATGTGCCTTTTATTGCACATTTTTACTATTAATTTATATAAAAAATAAGTTGATTTTAGTTTTATAAATTGTTCAATAAAAATGTTCTATGTAGCATTTTTATTAAAATAAAATTTATTTTTGAAATTTTTATATAAACTAATAGTGAAATTGTGCCCTTAACCTCACTACTAGAAAACATGCCTTATTTGTTAGGCAAACTGTCCCAGCAAGGCCATATTTTAATTAAAAAAAGGTAGTTCAGTCAAGGTAATTGACTAAATTGTTGATCCAAATATTTTCTATACGAAATAAAATTTTAGAGAGAATTTTATTTTGACCAAAATATATATTAATTCAGTTAAGATGCTTGATTGGAAAATTACTCGAGTAAATTTTTTTTTTTTATCTTAATTGCATAATGAGAAACAATCATTTTCTATTCCTTATCACATCCCACTCGCATGTTTTGTAATTTGAACTTATAACTTTTTATTTTCATTTTCTATCCCTTATCCCATTCTACTCGCATATTATATATTATATGATTCAAACTTATGACCTTTTATTTTCAATAAAAAAAGATAACCACTGAACTATTTAAGTTGTTGGTTTAGTTAAATTATTAAAAAACTCATATACTCAAACAAATAATTTACCCAAACTATATAAATATTATTTTAATCACATATCTTGGTCAATAATGGA